AGAGTTGAACGATCTCTTGGTCAAGTCCTGGAGGCCTCGCATGAGTTATATTCAAGAGTTATACAATCAGGAGCAAATGATATCCAAGCGTACGTATTTGTTTCACGGTTACTAAACGGGTATAACAAACACATAATTTCAAAAACTAACTAAAATCTGAGTCTAAAACATGAATGTAGTATTAATCAACACAATGTGCAAAAAACTTGTAATCTTAATTTGGCCTATAAAGTGTTAGTTGTTAATAAATATACAGCTCTTATAGGTTATGAATGATGGTTTATATGCACCAGAATTTGCATCTTTTTTACAATACCGACAAATTTAATTATTAGTTATTTACTAGATTCAACATAGACGTTAAGTATGATTATTTCAGAAATATGAACATTTGAATGAAAAACTATATATTTTCCAGACATCTTCTATTTGGCTCTAAAGGCATAGATCTTCAACAAATATCTCAGAAATTAGAAACACTTAGTTCAAAGCGCACATTTGAACCTCTTCAACCTATTGCTGACTCAGATGTGGAAAGTTTTTTAAAAAATGAAAGAGAAAATGCCATTTTGTCACTCATTGATGAGGTTAATAAAAATGTAAGTATTATCATAAATTGCTTATAATAAATTATTGTTCTTATTGAACAATTTTAATAGTTCTGTATCAATGTATATTGATGCAGAACACAAATTAATTGTAAAACTGTTAAATTTCAGTCATTGCAAACAACAGAAGACCAAAAATGGGAGCACATGCTTTCAGAGTGGAACAAAGAAAAAACGAATCTAATGAATGCTATGATTGGACCATCACAGAACTGGCTAGATCTTAAAAAGACACCGGAGCCTCCAAGTATTGCAGATGCTCCTAAAAAGTTTGGGCATTCTATGCTGGACAGTGTAGAGGCTGCATATGCTAGACAAATCCAACAGTACAATAAACTGATATTCCAAGGATCAAAGCCTAGGACTGCATTACACCAGAAATTTGCACAAGTTGCTGAGGAGTTAAATGAAACGGTATTGTTTAGTTTTACTGACATTGCTTGTGAATATTTTAAGGTTGAAGTAACATCATTATGCCACTATGTATTTTAGTGTTTTTAAAAAAGTTGAAAAATGTTAATGTCTTTTTATCATAACTTATAGAAAGTAAGAGAAATGTGGGAGATAATTAAGACAATGACCAACATACCTGCCATTGTGAGGGATGAAGATCCACTGAAAGCCCGAGGCAATCCAGCAATTCAACAGTGTCTAATAGCACAAGGCAAGAAATATTTAGAAAAAAGGTACAAATGCTATGAGATTCTATAAAACAAAAGTAACATTGATTTTTACGTTATTTTCATCTAAGATGTGGATTCTTTTAGATACAAACAATACATGAGTGATGTTGTACGTGCGAATCCTGCTGCAGCGATGAGAGGTGGGGAACCCGGTACATATCCATTGGTACGAGGCTTTGTAGGGCTTCGTTTACAAGGGCAGGGTAACCAGGGCCTAGCTGATGGCGTAGTTGACGATAGACCACTATGGCCAATGATATACTACTGTCTCAGAAGTGGAGATGCAAACGCCGCGTTACATTGTTTACGGAAAGCAGGGTAAGTTAAAAAAATATTAACCTTGTTATCCTTATAAAATAAAATATGATACATTTATTTTCTTATTAATTTAATCTTTTAGACGTGACCATGAAGAATTTATATCAGCACTCGAAGAACATATCAGGAATCCAGAAAAAGCCTTAAGTGACAAATTGCAGACAGCCATTAACTTTCAATATAGAATACAAGTTCGCAATTCAACCGATCCATACAAGAGAGCTGTGAGTATTTTATCTTTGGGTAGTAGATAATACTTATTATACTGAGAATTATTTTGTTCATTTAATGTGCTTTTTTAATTCAGGTGTACTGTGTAATTGGTTGTTGCGATGTGAGTGATGAGCATTCGGAAGTGGCTCGCACCGCTGACGATTACCTCTGGTTGAAGCTGTCCATCATAAAGTCTCGTCCCAACAATGAGCCAGTTGCATTCACATATTCAGATCTGCAGAAACTTATCTTGGAAGAATATGGTATGTGTTTTATATGGGAATAATAATATATAGTTTTTAATAGTGAATAAAGATGTCATCTCATTTTTTTCACTTAAAATGAGAGATATGGTATGTTTTTTATGAATATTTTGGTAGTAGTATGTATGTACCTCTATTGTATTTTTTTTAAATGTCTATCTTTGTTTTATTCAGGTGAAACTCATTATCATGCTTATGAAAAACCATTGGTATATTTCCAAGTATTGACATTGACGGGACAATTTGAACCAGCTCTAGAGTTTCTATCTAGAATACCAAGGTATGTATTTCTAAGTAGAGCAATTTTTCTCAGCTTTATATAAATTTTTATGCTAAAGCTTAACTTATTTATTCTTATACTTAACTTATTTGTTATAGGTATCAAGTACATGGTGTTCACATGGCATTAGCTCTTCACGATGTTTATATGCTGGGCACACCGAGGAATGTACAAGCACCTTTATGTAAGTAAATAGTATTTATATACTTGTAGTGTGATGTGTGACATATATTATATTACATTTATGAAGTTATGTACTTCATCAATTATGTGTATACAAAATAGTTTTTGTATCATGTTAGTAGTATTCTGATTATTAGTAAATATTTAATATTTTTTTCTTTTATTACAGTATCGGTTGACACAGATGATCCTAACCCACTTCGTAGATTAAATTTGGCAAGATTGTTACTACTTTATGTGAGAAAGTTTGAACTATCCGATCCATCTGATGCCTTACATTACTATTTCTTTTTAAGGTAAGGTTTAACTGTAATATTATTGAATAAATCGTTGATTAATTATTTATGTGTTTATTTTTTTTTTTTTTAGGAATTTGAAAGACCCCAGCGGTAAAAACTTATTCATGTGCTGTTGTACGGACCTTGCTTTAGAAAGCAGAGATTATGAATTGTTGTTTGGCAAAATGGATCCAGTTACAGGATTATGCAGTCCCGGCTTATTAGATGAGTTTAATAATCCTCATATTGACAGTAAGGTAAGTAATATATTTTTAGTTTGTGTCGCTTTAGTGGGCTTCCAAATAATACAACACAACTGGAAACATAATCTGGAAAATATTTGATATATTTGTCTCTAATTTGCAGGTTATAGCTCTGAATGTGGCTGAGCAGTTAGTTAATAAAGGACTCTTTGAAGACGCTATCACAGTTTATGATATTGCTGGGGTATGTATATATATTAATACAAACTCTTACATCAATATGCATTACAAAAACGTTACCCTTACAATCTTCATGTAGTGGGTTTACTCTTCATACATATTTTTTACTTGTGTCTTATGTTTATTTCTAGAACATAGAGAAAGTTCTGGAATTATTCTGTGTGCTGCTGGCTCAAGTGGTGAACAGCGGCGGTGGCGCGGGCGGGCTGAGGGAGCGGCTGTCGCTGCTTGCGGACCACGTGTCTCAACGTCTCCGTTATGCAGACACAACAGCACTGCCCGCCGCACTACTGGAGGCATACGTCAAGCTGTGCAAGCTCATGACGTTCTTCGATCAATTCCATAGTGATAACTTTGAAGGGGCTCTCGAGGTTAGTTGGATTTATAATCACACATACAAGTGAATGATTTCGACGTCTTGCCAAACTGACTTGCAGTTTAATGAATGACTTAGGTCTTGGCACTAATTTCATTTTAGTAGGGACTCAACTAATGTGGTACCCATTTTATCCTCAAGCTATCCAATCAGCTAAAAAAGGAAGCCGCCAACTTACTCGTAATATACTCCAAGATTATAGATACCATATATCTCCTATCATATTTTTAAGTGGTTTATGAAGTTGTTAGTTCCACTAAAATTATAACTAATGTTTCTTAACACAGACATTACGTGAGTGCGAATTAGTCCCCCTCAATGCGGGTGAGCTGGAGAGCAGAGTGTCTGCGGCGCGGTCGGCGCGCGGCGAGCTCCTACGTAGCCTGCCCGCTGTACTGCGCGCGCTTTGCCACATACTGCTGGCCCAGCGACAGCGCCTGCGCAATGCACACGCACATAATCTACCCATGCATACTAATAAGGTAATATATACAAAGCTGTTTCTAATAGTTAGAATAGAATTGACCATAAAAATACCGGAACCTATCAAATGATTGGTTGATTATGTGTGCATTGAATTAAGAAGACAGACTTAAACATTTTATACCTATTCTTATAATGTGTTATGGCTTAAAATATTTCTATTATTTTTTTACAGCAAGTGGAATGGCTGCGGGAACAGGCCGAAGTCCTCAATACATTTGCAGGCAACATTGCATATAGAATGCCCGGTGATACTTACAGCCAATTAGCACAGATGCAAATTTTGATGCATTAATACAAGATTATAAAAATATGGAATAAAACATTTAAATAATTGAATAATACTCTTTTATTTCTCTTTTTAAAGTTTCACTGTATATTGTAAACTGTTTTCTGCTAGTTGCCGTCTTATTTATAAGCCTCTAATAGTTCTTTTTTTTAAGCAGCAGCATTACAGTTGATTTTAATACAGCAGGACAGCAGCGCTGGCCTGGCATGGACTGTCTTGACTCACTGACTCCAGTTAGTATTCATATTGTATGCCAGCTCTGATTTTGAGCGCTACTACTGGCCTAATGTTAACCAGCCTTTATTTGTTTACTTTTTTAAGCTTAATGAAGTAGTTTAAGCCAATCAAGAACATAATTACGTTATGTATGTTTGTTATTAGCTGTTTGAAAATAATGTGCATGAGTGAACGTTTAAGTGAGTAATTGAAGTGAAATTTGTATTTGATTTTTTAATTTTTGTCTACTAATATCCAAAGAGTATATAAAATATCTGCCAAAGCATCAGTAGACCTCTTCCTTTACTTGCTCTTTGACATCTACTTCTACTGTCAAATTGACAAGCGGTGAATGAAACAAACAAAAATCAAAACAAAAATAAAATTGTTTTGTTAATCTCTATTTTAAACAAGTACTATTATATTATTAGTGGTAAAAGGAAAACTGAAATGTACTTATAAATCTTTAATTTATTAAGTTTTTCTTTAAGAAAGTCTTGTCATGGAAAGACGAAAAGCAAGTCCTGAGCAGTTAAATATGCTCTTACATTTTCTAGAGGAAGATAAGGAATTAGCTGTTGGTAAATTCACAGGCTTAGAAGGCCGAATAAGGCAGACCAACGCATGGATTAAGATAACTGAGAAGTTAAACGCAAATTCGGGTTTTGGCTCTGGCGCCATAAAAACTCCTGATAAGTGGCAGCAGGTTAGTGCATTGAAAAATGCGTGCGCTGTCTTCTAATATGCATAACTTTTATACTCAATAAATCAAAACTTGAAACCTTGTAAGAAATACAATGCTAATCTTTTTTTGCAGACTTGGCGGGATTGGAAATCTAATGTGAAGAAAAAAGCTTTTAAGATTCGAAGAAATCGTTTTACACCTGGCTGTAATACTAATACCCAGCTTACAGAGGCGGAGGAAAAGATTTTAAGATTAATTTGCACAAATACTGCAGTATTTGGTATACCAGGGGTCCCTGAAACTAGTGTTACAAGCAACATAATGGTATGATGACAATTGTTAAGTGTGGTCTGCACATAGCTTAAATTTAAGAGTATCTTTTTCCATTAGTGTCACTAGTATGTAGTTGAAATGTTTTGTACTTATTTTTTAAACAACAAATTTTAGACTCCTACCCAATCCAGTGGCATCAGTGATGATTTGTGCAACATGGAACCTACTACAAGTAACATAGTAAGATAGTTTTGTTTCTGCTGTTGTATTATGACAATATAAAAACTTTAAGAGACAGGTTAAAAACTTAATATTATGGTTGTAATATTTTAGAAATGGCCAACAAATAATAATTTTTCACAAGAAGAAATAGATATGAGATTACAAGATGGGTTGAACAATGTTATAGATGTAGGCCTTGGTTCCAATGAAGTAACATCTGCACCTGTGCCACAAAAACCTCTGTGGAAACGGGGAAGATCAACTAGTAAGTATAGTTACAATATAATAAATGTTTGAAACGATAGCCCCAAACATCCTACTAACTTCAGAATAAACAAAGTATATTTAAAAATTTGTAACTAATTTTAGAAATGATTTTCTTTTCAGGACATGCCCATGACCGATGGATAAATTTAGAAGAGGAAAGAATAAAAGTAGAGAAGCAAAATTTGCTTGAAAAGAAGCGATGTAACAATATAAGATTAAAAATAGAAAAAGACAGACTGGAAATTGAAAGGCAAAGGAATGTTTTATTAGAGAAGTATGTTTTAGTGCTTTTTAGATAAAATATTATTCCATTGCTAATTTTAGGCATAAACTAGGACTTTTGGATATTTTTTTTGCCTAAATAACAAGTAAAGTAGCTGGCCATTAGCGATAAAAACCTTGAAATGTTTTTAAATTTATTTTGTTATTTTATTTAGAAGTATTTATATTACAAAATTTTTAGAAATAGTAATCCCAGTGTAGAAATATGATCAGAAAATTTGAAACTATAATGATTATAATTTAATTTCAGATTAATCATAGCCGTAGAAGCTGCCGTGCATCGATAAGCAAACATGATTGAAGTCAATAATTTTTTTAATTAAAATCTATAATATTAACATATAATTTTTGTCCTATAAATGTATAAATGTGATATTAATAAATAAGCATAATGTCTACGATCAATTATGAAGACTGTGTAAATATATTAATAAATATACTTATTTTTTTATAGTTTCTTGTTTCAGTTTTATTAACACCATAACATTAACGAGCTTGTGCGGATATATTCCTAAGACTTAAAATTGTTAGTTACTGAAAAGAGTCCGCTGTGTTTCATTGTTGTGCGAAAATCTGGTCAATAATTTCAAACAATTGGACAAACGTTGTGCTTATGTTATGTGTCAACTACTCTTTGCCATAATCATAAGTGGTAAAATAAGATTATTAAGATCCAAATAAGATATAACCTAAAAGTCTATGTTATAAGGTCATAAATTTAAAAAAAAATGTCAAATAGAAAATGTCACTGTCAGCTGTCCTGAAAGGTTGATTTTAGGTTATAGAGTTGTTTATTTTTAATAAAGAAGACATTCATATGTGAATATACTTTTTCATTAAGAAATTTAGATGGATCCGAGTAATCTTAAACGAAATCTAGTGTGTGTTTTGTTTCCTGGAATTGTTAAAAATGAAGAAAAAGCAGTGCAATGTTTGGGCGGTCCAAGAGGAATTTCACAGGTTTTTATCTGTTAACACTTAACTTCATATTTAAATTCATTTTTAAAAGATAAATATGAACACATTGTTTTCTTGAAGGTGTATTCTCAGCCTACTAAGAAGCGTTTAGGTCTAAGCTTCCAACCTGACAATCCTTTTGTAAAGAAAACATTTGCTGATTGCAAAAAAACTGCTGGAGTTCTACTTAAAGTTAAAGTAAAGAAGACAAAAGTAGATGGAAAAGATACAAAACAAGTTATTTCCACAACACTTCTTGGTTCAGTTAAGGTTATATATAAGTTTGAGGGTGAGTTTGCATATTTGCTAATGATTAAAAAGTTTATATTTGTCACTTATAAACACTTCTGGCTTTCAGCAATGTGTGATTTCCAGTATTTACCTGTGAACAGTGAGGGAAAAGAACCTCAATGTATATTGGAGAAGATTTTACCATCAGGAGTAGACACATTTGACTTTATGGTGTAAGTTAAAATTATTGTAAAAAAAAATCTGAATATATTTATACATTTTTACAACATTTAATGATTTTTTTACAGGAAACCTTCACCACTATTTATAGTACCGCCAAACTTTACTAGGTTTGATAAACCCATAAATTATAACTATACTGACAAAAGGTTTGTTATCAAAGAACACCATGAAAATCCTGATGACATTCATCGTAGAGCACGGACTGAACGTGGTACACCACTTTTACGGTATACTTTCAATCTGGATGATGACTTAGCAACAGAAGCTCATGCTTATTATGTAAAACAACTGGATATTAAAAAGGTTATGTACCCACCACTGCAGCAAGAATTTGAGACAGTTAAAAAGGTACATATAAATTAAAAATAATGCAACTAAGCATTTATTTCCAATTTGGTTAATAAAAAAAATTGTTTTAGCTTTTCGAGGAGAGACCAATCTGGTCACTGAATCTCATTAAATTCCATACAAAAATAAGATTATCTTCCCTGAAAATAATAATGCCTTGCCTGGCGATCTACATGAAGGATGGACCTTGGAGAATGTTGTGGGTTAAATTTGGCTATGACCCCAGAAAAGAACCAGCAGCAAGAATTTATCAGACATTGGATTTCAGATTAAGGCATACAGGTAAAGTATAAAATGTATGTATGTTTTACAGCATTTTTTGTAAAATTATAATATGTGAAAACTTTTTTTAAAAATTTATTTATGTGGTAAAGTTCTCTTTTCGCTTGTTTGAATTCTACTTGACACTGTCTGTTTCTATTGGACAGCCTCCATAAGCGAGAAACTCTGATAAGATAGAATCCTTTAAAGGCTAGAAAAATATCTTGATTCTAACTTATCCAGTAATGAGTTGGTGAATAATTATGCATCTATTTCTTATAATCAATTTTGGACTATAATTATAAGATTATATCTATACTATGTACAATGACGACACAAATATTGCGAACTTCGGCTGATTTTTAGTTATGGTAGAAATATTGTTATAGCGGGTGTTCACTCAATGGTAATGACGCGAGATAAAGTGGTGCACTACAAGAAAGCTGTGCGTGTACGTCAGCTGCGCAACGAGCGCGAGGAGCCACAGCCTACGGACGACGTTAGTGAGGGTGCCGTGCGTTTTCGACCTGGTATGGCGCCCTCACAGCGACAGATATTTTACCAGGTTGTGTAACGATACATAAAGTTAAGTTAAGTGATAGGGTATAACAATTGTGTTAATGACGCTAGATAGGGTATACAAGGTGTTTCATGTATATGGGAGCTTCACATCCAATAATTCTTCTTTACCAATACTGATAAAGATATATAATAAACTTTTTTGTTATCTAATTAAAGTTTATTTTTGTTTTGTAATTTCTAAACTCGATTTGACATCGTAAATCTAAGTTAAGTTGTAAAACTTAATGACTGACATGCGTCAGTTAACATTTATTTATTAACTTAATATAAAACTGTAGTACTGCGACGTGCAATTGCCTGAAGTGGAAGAGATCCTGGCGGTGGAGCCTCCGCCGGGTTACTTGTGCCATGAGAAGCGCGGCTGGCTGCCGCCAGACACCGACCAGATCTGTCGCGACCACATCTTCAGATATGTGAAGCAGACTCTCCTCGCTACACACAGTGCTGACTTGAAGTTAGAGGTCAGTTAGAATAAGCTCATTATGTAAGATTAGCTGTCGCCCGCGACTCCGTCCGCGCGGGATTAGGATTTTTTTTTAGTAGCCTATGTATTCTTCCAGACTATGTTCTACATCTATGTCAAATTTTATCGAGATTTATAATATTAGTGAGATTATATTTTCTTGAAAGACGTAATTTAGTTCGTATAAAGATATTATATATATTTCCAGCAAGGGAGCTTGGAAAGCTGCGATGAAGATTCAAGTTCTGATGATGACGATGAAGGCAGCATACCCCCCAACGGGTCGGACGATGTTTCAGCACCTAATCAATAAACTAAACAATGTTATCCTTGTTGTTTTATTTATCTAACACAAAAGTTATTTTTGTAACAACCCTATAGATAAATATGAAAAATAAAAAATGCCTGATAAGTTATCTTTTGTCAGTTATCCCTAATGATTACTAAACTTTCCTGTTAACCCCCACGTCCCTTTATGTAGAGAAATTTCGTAATTATCTCTTTATTAGTTATCTTACACTCACTTACTTATAAATATATAAAAATCATGACCCAAAATAGTAAGAAAATCTTTTAAAGGATTTCGAAGGTCAAAACTACTATGTTTGTAAAGAAGTTTACATGACTACTTCAAGAAAAGAGTGTATTGTTTCCTAAAGGTTGGTAACGCATCCGACTGACATTTCAATATTTCTTAGTGGAGATCAAACTCAGGACCTTGTTTTAATTTTTTCAATGGCTTACACGAAGTAATTAGCTCACTTTAGTTGACCTCGTTCAAATTGTTATGATTAAACAAAGTAGCCAATATAAAAGAAAGGATATTATATTTTTGATGTATTGCAAAATAATCTTAACATATTAATTTTAAAATCTTTTGTCTACCACATTCATGTTACATTTTACGCTTGTAAGCTACTGCCCTTTTGTTCCATGTTAACGGCAAGTCGAAAGTCCACGTAGGGTTTGGTATTGTTTACCCGCGCTATCTGAATTTCCGCCCCTCTTCGACCTTACGGTGGAGGCGCCGATGGTTCTGTGGGCACAAAGCGGTTGTTATCGCGCACGTATATAACCGCTCGGTCGCTGCGCGCGCGCACACTTGCTCTACTCTCTCACTGCCGTGCTATCGATTTCCCGCCCTTTCGTTTCGACCGGCGCGCGAGTTTCCCGCGAGTGAGGTTAGTGTGTGATTTTTCACTAAATCTATGTTTCAAGGAATATTGGAGCGTGGCTTTACTAGTTTTTTATTTCATTATTAATTTTCTGTGTCGAGTATGCTGCAATAAGCGGTCATTGTTAGTGTTTAAACGTTCACAATAACGTATTCCTTTGTTTTTTAATCCACTATCGGTATGTAATCCAAAAGGCTTGTATCTTAGACTAAATTATTATTCTTATCTTAATTATATTAAAGTATTAACTGTCTATAATGATGGCTGTTAAATGTTTTTTTATTAATTGATTAAAAAAATATTTAAATCAAAAACGAAATCATATTTTTGTTTCATTTAATTGGTGGTAACCTAAAGGTACTTAATCTTTATTTTATAGTGAGATGGAAAAGAAAGTGCGTGCTCTAAACTTCTAATACTACCGATTTTTCTACATGTTTAAGGTTTTTGTCATTGAGTAACTTAGTGAAAAAACGTATTTCTTAACTCTAGCTCTGTCTGGACTAAAATAATTTTTATGTCTATAATAAGAGAATTAAATGTAGATTGACATCAACAGCTAATGTTGTTTTAAGTCGAAAATTAGGTAAAAGATCTGATTATATTTTACAATCAAGGATAATTAGCTTTAAAGGAGATAATGAAAAGAAATTTTATTATCGAGGACGTAATATGATAATGTTGATACGTACGAGTTCAAAAACATATTGTTATCTCCTTTTTTTCCAAAAGAGTGAAAGGGATGGTATGATTTTGCGTACATGTTTCGGTAGTGAAAACCTATTACAAAACATGTGAAATACAACTCAGCAAATGTATTTGGATCAAATGTAACACAATACCCATCCTCGTGTAAGGTTTAGTGAACTAATATGATTTAAAGTTACATTGTTATGTCTATCACTAGCTATTTTTAACTTCTCATATTACATTATTATGTCTAGTTGATGTTAGAGAAAATAGACTTTTGCATATTATGTATCAAACTAGTTGTCGCCCGCGACTCCGTCCGCGCGGAATTACAACACTTACTAAGTGTTTTAATTCCGCCTATGTGTTCCTCCAGATAATGTTCTACGACTATGTCAAATTTCAGCCAGATTCATGCAGCATTCATTCATTTATATATTTTAAAAGTTTTATCAAATTATATTACAACTAGCCGTCGTACGCGACGTCGTCCGCGCGGGATTAAAATATAGATAGTAGCCGATTCTCAAACCTCCTGAATATGCATACAAAATTTCATAAAAATCAAGCTATTTCGGAGGAGTATCATAACTAACATTGTGACACGAGAATTTTATATAGACAATTGTTAACTCTTAAAAACTTTTATAGGAATTTATTTGCTTGGAATCGAACCTAAAACTTATACGAATTACAATATTTTATTCGCATTGTAATACATTAGCAATGCACATCATGAGTCAAGGTCTTATTAAGTATGCTTCACACGTGAGGTGTCGAAAATAAGGCTTACTTACCACTGCATTTAACAATATAATTAGACGCTAGTTTAGTATATAAATAGCAATGTAAACGAACCCTATGTAATTAAGATATTGTATTTAAAATAAATTTAAGAAGTGATACAATTAGTAGTAAGAAAGTTTTCTTATCTTTAACCCAATAAGGATAGATAACCAAGGTCATTAGAAGTTAAAGATAACCCTATCAGTATAACCATGTTTATTTGAATATTAAAATAATTGTAAAGGGAGTTGTTTATCCACATTTTTTTCTATAGATTATAATCATAATTCGAAGTCTTTAGAACCATAAAGTCGTTCAAAAATGCTGTCGCTCGCGCGAAAAAAAAAACATAACTAGTAGCCTCCATGTTCTTTCAGGCTATGTTCTATATCCCTGCCAAATTTCATCGAGATCTGTTGAACTGTTGTGGAGATCAACAAACATTCATCCATCTAAACATGTGCATTTAAAATATTATTAGTAAGATATGATGGTGATATCTCATTTAAGTATTATATTAAAAGTGGAATAACAAATTATAACGCACAATTTAAGTTTCAAATCATCACGTGTCATTAGGCTATTGACATTTCCAGTACAGTTTCATATGTTTTATTAATTCCTTGCAGACGGCGCAGTAATACGTCACAATGAGTAGCAGTGAATTTAAGCTAGAGCGCAATGTCGAGTTATCGCCGGAGACAAAAGCAATCGCTGAACAGGAGTTAAGAGAGACACCGGAGAGAGTCCGCGAGGCGCTCGAACGTCTCAGAGAATTGCTGAAGGAGAACAAGGATATCTACTTCGGAGATGATGACGAGCTACTAACCATTTTCCTTCGACCCTGTAAATGGTATCCGGAAAGCGCACTGGCACTCGTAAGTACAATTTTTTATTTATAACACGACTAAGAAGGGAGTTACATTATAAATGATAAATGATTCCTATCTAAAGGACGAAAGTTTAGTGAGTCGACAACACATTAAGTTATGGGTAACATAGAGTCACATTTAAAGACAGGGAAATGAAGACAATATTCTAAACAGTTTATTCGTAACAATAAAGTTATTTTTGATAACTATCACTGTATGGAGACAAGGACTAGGGCAATAAGTACTAACGGGGTCGCGGACGCTCTCGTCCCGATGCGTCGGAGGAACAGAGAGGTTTAGTGGGTATGCCTCCGCTATGGAGGAGAATCCCACATAACTACCGCGTCACCCCCGGGGCGCGCAGTATGTATAAAGCATTCCTCTCTGGAAAAAAAGGGCAATAAGTACTTATTTTTTAATCCTGATAGAGTCGTAGTAATCGTTACAAGAACTTATACTAGTTTCCTTTTTTGTTCCTATCGAATTGGATTATAACAATGTTAGTGATATACGATTAGAAAACATAGATATATAAATATATAGAATATTCTAATATTGTATATGTAGTGCTTGTCTTGAATAATATAATTTTTGTAAATTGTTAATTACACTTTATATGAAATAAAAGATAAAAGATTAAGGTTTTGTATAACGTTTTAATTTAATATCTTGATAATTTAAAGCTTTCTTACTTTGGAAAGTATCATTTATAATATACATATAATTACTGGGCGTGTATATCTTATGGCAAGATGGCGGATTTTCTCCTGGCGCGGGAAAAAGTTTGTACCGAGTATGGATATTAATGTAGTTTTAGCAAATTTTTGCTCTGCTGCACCACTGCACAAATATATAACCATCTCTTTCTTTTTCTTAAAATAAATTAAGATTAAGATACAGATAGTATTTTGGCAATAAGAATAAATTAGTTGTCCACGTAGTAATTGTCTGCAACATCTAAATTAACTTTCGAATGTCGAACGCGTCTTTTCAACTGCTCTTATCTCTGACCGATACCGGGCTAACAATCGTATCTTTATTTGTTGTGAGTTATTGAACTGTCCCAAAGATATTTATACTTTCGGATAAGGTTGCTACGATTACTGTAAATATTGATGTAACCCACTGTTCATACAATTAGTTTCAACAGTTAATATTTAATAAAAAGACCCATCGAGTTTTTATTGTTTATAATTGTCAAAAAATTATATAATAATTATTTTTTGTATTTTTTTATGTAAGTTACACAGATTTGCTATTTGATTTTATAAAAATTGTTTTCACAGAAGTTGTAAATGGAATGTTCACTGTAGTTTTTGAAACAGAAAAGTTGAAAATAAATCAAAATTAAAAAGTTTATTCAAAGAATTACTTTGGTAATTATGAAGTATTTGATCTCAATTTTATTTTACGTTATTTATAGATTTATTGTTAAGAAAATTTTATCTCTAACCGCATTTAAGACAAACATTTCCATTAAAAACAACCCTTTGTTGCTATTTAGCTTATCAGGCGTACATTATAAACAACGTGTTTATAAACATGTTATTCTATATAAAGTAGTTTACAAGTCAGAGACTACAATTGTATCAAAGAGGTTTTATCTTAAAAGATAATTACAAAGAAATTATACTTATATTATAAATGCTAATGTTTAGATGGATGGTTGGATAGATGTTTGTTAGAAGCGAGCTTATCACCACCTCAAAGGCCGGCAACGCATCTGCGGTTCCGCTGGTATTGCTGATGTCCATGGGCGTGGTTGAACAACTCGGTGTTCCCGCTGCTCGTTTGCCCCCTTCTATTAAAAAAAAAGTATCTCTACAACGGCTGAACAGATCTTGATGAAAGTTGGCATACATATATAATATAGCCTGGAAAAACACATAGACTGTTATTTTTTTATTCCGTGCGGACGGAGTGGTGTGTCCGCTAGTTACAAAATAAAGTGTAAAAAATAGCCCTTAAAACTTTAACCAATGTAAAGAATGAAATGAATATGTTGTTTTAAATTAAATAATTTGAAATTAGTTGACATATTTGTATAACCTTAAAAAGCGCAAGTTTTAACAAAATTAGACATAAGAAACTGGTCCAAGCGGTCCCTTTGCGTTACACAATATGGAGATGGTGTAACAAGAAATGTGTTAGTGGTGCTATGACGAAACGTTTTACTTCGATAAATCGAAACAAAATTAAGTAACAATGTTTTTATATTGATAAAAAAGGTATAAGTGCCAACCCTATTGACGGATTACTGTATGTATGTACTTTTTACCGCGCTTTTTTTGCTGTCAAAATTTCAAAACAATGTATCGAATTATTTCAAATTAAATTAGGGTTTCCAATCTTGAAACATTTTTCATCCACTTTGAAAAAACAAAGATAAAATCTGTTTTTGTAGAAGATGTGTATATATTCATAAGTAAAGTTTTACTTTAAGACATCAACGGATAATAGTGGTTTCAAAATATTTTTCCGACTTTTCCTAACATTTGACCTATATGCAATTGTATGCGCATGAGTAATTGAATGCGCAGAAAAGTAAACAGTGACTGTCGTTTGTTCGTATTTCATTTGTCCATTTATATTGTAGCTTAATCTATTAAAAAGAAATTTGTTAGGACTCTGATTTAGCTTAAACTATAAAAATATAGATTTCCGATCTTCAGAAGACTCTACCCCATTCAAAACCATTTTTGAATTGAATTTGATTGACCATAGACAATTTTGTTAGTAGTGATAATAGTTTAGCAAAGTATTTAAATCAGATTAATTATTGTTATATTTCCTCAAGTAAATTTTCGTTTAAAGTACACGGTTTTGAAATTGACAATAAACATTTGAATTTTTTTATAATGAGTTCTTTATTCTGATATTCGGTAGAGTATGTATCACTGCTTACCAAGAATCGAAACGTTAGCATCAGTAGCTACGTGATACGATAACAGAAATGGTGTCAAAGGGCATCGAATAACAGATAACACGAGTTGCCATCGCCCTGGTGACATTACAAAGGTCGACATTTATAAGTACATATAAAGAAAGATGGGGAGAATTATGTAATTTAAAGAATGCAGTTCTAAAAAATATATTTTACTTTATTAAACACATTAGCTGTCGCTCGCGACTTTCGCCCGGAATTTAAAAAAAAACTTAATTAGTAGCCTATGAGTTCTTCCAGACTATGTTCTAGATCTATGAAAAATATCAGCGAGATTCATACAGCCGTTCTTAACATACCTTCAAACAAACATGCATCCATCTAAACATTCGCATTTATAATATTAGTAATAAATAAGATTTCTTGTAGAATATGACTTTGATATCATTTGAATCATTCGATCACTTTGATTGTTAGTGTTTTATTTAGACATAAAAACTATATTGCATTCGTGTGATAATGTCACAAATACATTTCAACTTGGATGCGTATGCGCATTAATGCGGATGCGCTGCAACGCATAAAGGAAAAAACGTATATAGAAACATAATTTTCATGGCTACCGAGCTAATTCTAAGTTGATTTTTATTGCTTAGTAAGCTGTCATTGCAAATAGATTTCAACTTGATGACTTCCGTTGTTTTGCTTGAAACAATATAAATTAATTAAGAATTAAATAATATATAAGTAATCGATTTTAAATTATTGTTTGTAACATTAGGTCAACGATTGTAAAGTTGTTTTATGTTTTTGAATTTAAAAGCTGTTATTGTTGGTCGTTATTATTTTATTAGTATAATAATTTAACATTTATTTGTAGATTATTTTATTGATATGAAATAACGCCGAACACGTTAGTTAGGCAAAACAAAGACATATGTACATATGCATGGTATTCAAAAGTCTTATTAAAGTTAAGTCTTTAAAATATACCTTAAAGTAATGATAAATAAAAACAAATACATTTTCATGGTTTAAACTTAACACTGTTTTCTTACCATGGCCTTAACATGGTAAGAAAACAATGTTAATGCTGGATAAAAATCAATTATAACGTACACTTTAAGCTAAGACACAGATGAATTTATGGGGTCTGCACCTTAGCCTTGGTCCCCGGGATTTGTCAATCTTCCGACCGTATTAAGTACAGGTTTTTAAAATAAATTATATAAATAATGTATAGATGCGAAATCTCAACAAACGACCTGATACATAATTAATGCGGCGAAGAAACTACGGCTTGCCGCACGCCGCTGACCGCTGTCCGCTGCCGGTATCACGTTGAACATTAGTAACACAAGCGGTTGATTAGAATTATAAAATGTTAGAGAAAACAAACGCTCAAGGTTCTATTTCAACAAATGGACAGTTGGAACCATACATTTTGGAAGCACTGAAACAGTCGCTTTAATTCAAACTATTTTATTGAAATTCCATTTTCAGTCTAAACAAATATAAAAAGTATTAAAGGTTAAATGAGTATGGGGGGTCCTTATTAAGCTTTTGACCAATACTTGTAGTACTTAAATTTTTAGTAAAATACGCTATTTTTAACAGCAATGAGACACTAATAGAAGTATCATTGAGTTGTTAACATTTTAACGATTAGTGTAAATAGTGTCAAGTTCAAACTCGTGTACAAATTCATGTCAAGTATTTGATGCATTACGACTTTAAATATATAATGTTAGATAATATTCGAATATAATTTCTGTAATTTTGAAGTGTAAAATTATTTACTTTAAGTGTAAACTTTGTGTAATTTTTTAATACCTTGACATGTCTCAAACAAATCCTTTATTTAACCTTTGAACTTTTAACGTACACATATTTATAAAAATACTAGCTGTCGCCCGCGACTCCGTCCGCGCGGGATTATAAATAGATGTTGGCCGATTCTCAGACCTACTCAATATGCTCACAAAATTTCATGTGAATCGGTCAAGCCGTTTCGGAGGAATATGGGAACGAAAATTGTGACACGAGAATTTTATATATAAGATTTATATACGTAATTCAAATAACTCTTGATCTCAATTATAAATATTTAATTACTATAAAATAACTAGGTTAGTTACTAACTTATAATCACGTATATGTGAATGTATAAACAACTTTACAGGAAATAGAAAAAAACATAAACAATGATTATACATTACATATGGAAAACTATTAATTGAGATATAAATAATATTGATAATAATAATGATACGATATCCAACTAATAATATAAATGCGAAGGTTTCAATGGATGGATATTTGTTTGAAAGTATCTCCAAAACGGCTCAACGGATCTCAATGAAATTAAACATACATATAGATCATAGTCTGGAACATAGGATAATTATGTTTTTTTTTAATTCCCCACGGACATTCAAAGTTCAAATTAGCTCGCCAAGACAGAGGTCTGAGTACTAATCAATTTATTTAAATTCAAATGCATTTTGTACAGTACACGATAACAGTTATCCGATTATCAGGCAAATGCTGCGAGATAATCGACACATCTGCAGTTATAAGGATGCAGACGTATCTTGTTATTAGTCTAGTAACGGACCACTCAATAACGGGTTCCAAACTACCATGTATCATTAAAACACCGACTACTATAACTACAGTACACACCACTGATCTTAAATCTTACTTACAACATCCTTCCATCTAAACTTGTGCATCTTATGAATGTTGACTAAGTCTAACTAAGTATAACTGATGAACTTATCTAGATATCTGGAACAGAGATATATTATATTCTGGAATAGTTTTTAGGTTACTATCTGTTGATTTCTGAGACTAAAATCTGTGTATAAAACTTGTCATCCCTGTCTTTATTGGGTTTTTAGTCTCAGAAATCCGTGGTAAATCAGTTTGTTTTATTCGACGCAGACGAAGTAGCGTTCAATAGCTAATTTATATTATGATAATTGATAATGATGTTATAAATACTGTCTTATCCTGCGCATAACTACCAAAATATTATGTTAGTCGCGTTGTTTGAAGTTTGAATTACTAAATCGTGAATCACCGAATATAGGGCAATAAAGATCTCAACCTTTGTCCTATTGAATTGATCGTAATAAGATATAATTGTTATTATAAATTGAGATTGTCCATAATTACTCATTATAGAATGCCATCCATCTGACATGATCAAATATTCGTCCAATAAAGTCAAAAATATAAATATGTATGAATGTAATCGTCAGCATCATCGCGAATAAGAGTATCTTTGATTCATGAATTGGATGCAATTTGTTCTATCATTTTTTATATCATTTACTCTATGATGACATTCTCATTGAAATAATGTCATAGAGTAGTTGCGTTGCAGATGGCCATTTTTACTTATTTGTAGGTATTTTGTATAATATCGGATTTTATGAATCATCCGCAACATAGAGATGGAGATAGGGATTTGAACTTTGTTGCGTTTTTTTTATATTGTTGTGACAGAAATAGTTATTGATACAGAGTCACGTAGGTATCGAGTGCGAGGTCCATGTGCAATCAGTATCAGCTGATAACAGCCGGATGTTCAGCATCGTTTCTAACTGCACTCCTAATGTGCATTACATGTAAAGATGTGATTAAGAATTAATGTACATATATTACTTATAGTTTAGTTGGTTTAGATTTTTAAATCGGCTGCCGTTCAAGCTGCATTAGTGTAAAGTGAAGGACTTGCTAAGGGTATGTTTTGAAATTCGTAATTGCAACTCGTATATTGTTTTTTTTCGTACAATTTAGAGGCCTTGTTTTCCTACAATTTAGGGGCAACTTGTTAAGCGTGTTAATGACAAAAGTGTGAGGTTGCGACGGATATTCTATATTATATTTTAGCGTCCTTGCTATTATAATGATATTAAGCAATTCGTAATCACCGTTTGAGCCTTGACAAACAAATGATTAGTGTAGATAATAAGCGAGCCAAGCTATCTGAACACTTATCGTTCAACGATAATATTTGACTGAGGTTTGTAAGATAAAAAACATCCTGTATCCGAGCAAACACTTTAGAACAAAGGGAAAGGATCTAAAGATAATGTAGACTGAACAGACTTTAACAGGATCCACATCCTGGCATAACGCAAAATACGAGCTAATTGTGGTCTTGGTACAGAAACAACAGTCCTCTTCTATTATATAATAGCAGTTGCCCGCGACTTTGTCCGCGCGGTAATAAAATATCTAGTTAAAAAATATAGCCTTTTTCACCCGGTGATAGTGTAACTTTCCAACTATGAAAGAATTTTTTAAATTGGTTTAGTAGTTTCGAAGCTTATTAAATGCAATCAAACAATCAAATATTTCCTCTTTATAATAATAGTAAACTAGTAATAATCTATTACTAGCCCAGTGGCTAGCTGACAGTTAGAAAACATGATTCTGGGCTCACAAAAAAGGTTAAATACTCTGGCAAATTTAAACGTGTTCATGTTAAATACGTAGGGATGCCCCGATTTTTGCGGTCCATCTATAGCCTTGCTAGGGTTGTCCACTTTTAACAATAGATAACGCTTTTGATTTTATATTCAATAGCTTCTTTTTTTTACTTCTACTTTTTATTTTTTAAATTCTATCGTAATTCTAAAATCTCTTTGCTCATGTATTGCTAAAAATAGCATAAGATTAAAATGTAGCAACGCTAAACGCACTATGTAATTCGGTCAACGCAACTTGTGAGCGCGCAATTAATTTTAATAACAGTGTTAAGATTAGGCAAGACGGTGCGTCTGAACCATAGAGCCAAACGTGGCTGCCGACCCATTCGCAATCAGTCGTTAACCTGTATTGTGCAATGCAAAACATGCTGACAGAAACAGGCCCAGTGCCGTAAACGTATGTAACTATGTTATAAAACTATATTACATATACAAGGTCAAGATTTTACTTAGCTTAACTAAGTTAGTAAAGTTATGAGAGCTGTAGCCTGCGACCCCGTCCCACGCTTAATTAGTATCCTATGTGTTCTTCCATATTCAAGCACTTTTCATCAATGCAACCGTTCTGGAGGTACCATCTAATATCCATCCATCCATCCGTCTACTCATCCATACAAACAATAACATACATCAACAGTAACTTTTGTTAATATCTTGTGATTTTTCACTGCTGGGACATCGAAATAAAAACATGTTACCGCGCGCGCGCAAACACGAGTCACTTGTGTCCGTTTATTTTATTCGGTTTTTCAGGAAAAATGTCTACTTCTGACTTGCAAACTACTTTACGTGATTTATCGAAGACTGTGGCAATGTTGGTAACAAAAATCAACGAGCAAGCAGTCGCGATTAAAGCGCAAACTAAGAAAATAGATGATCAAAAACAGCTGATTGAAAAAAATTTTGTAATAATTAGTGAACAGAAGAGGGTAATCGCGAATTTAGCAATTAAAGTGGACAAGCTTGCTGCGGTCGCGGACGGCACGAAGAAGGGGACAGCAGCGCCGTCTAGTGCAACTACGTCGCCGAGCGCAACAGAGACAGCTGCAGGCTCGGGGGAAGCAGGGCCGGTTACCCGCGCTCGCCGCGCCGCGCAGCGCATTGAATCTAAGGGCTTGATCACATCGTGCGTGCAGGGGCCGAAGCGATTAAATACTGCGGATGCTCCCAAGGATAAA